GCTTGTGCAACCAAGAGTTGTCTTCTTCCTGCTGCTCATGCTCTCTTTCTCCCACCATCTTCTTCAATCCTTGCTTCTCCGCTTGCTTTCCGATTATGATGTATGAGATACCACCAGATCAACGCCGGTTGAGCTAGGGGTTCCCACAGACGGCACCAATTTGATATGGTCCAAGACAAAGACTCTGGCACTTCGTAGGGTTCTCTTCGGTTTGAGCTGGGTGCTAGCTGGTTCGGTCCGAGCGTGCAAGTTCGCTGGTACCTGCAAAGCGCCGGAATTGCTCCGACGCAAAACCCTCCGACGCCCAAGTCAATATCTTGGAGAAGAAGAATAATGTGTATTGAATGTAACAATAACGGAATTAAATGAAGTCTTACATACTGACTGCGGAACTCAACATGTATATAGTGTTTTACTGTACGGACTTCCTTCTAAGGTCTTTAATATTCGGATACCCATCGACTGGGTGTAGCTTGGTCGATGCCTACACATATGGTCATGATTGGACCGATCTTGCTACTGTCGCGTGGTCGAATCACCCCTCAGTCGTTTGGTCCGTCCGAACCCTAGTCGACTCGCCATTTGTGTTCGGCCATTAAGGTGGGCCGAATCTTAGCCGGCCCAGAGCTTGTGTTTGACCATTGAGGTGGGTCGAACCTTGCGCGACTCGGAGCTTATGCTCGGCCAGTAAGGTGGGTCGAACCTTGCACGACCCGGAGCCTATGCTTGACCATTGAGGTGGGTCGAACCTTGCACGACCCGGAGCTTATGCTCAACCATTGAGGTGGGTCGAACCTTGGTCGGCCCGGAGCTTGTGCTCGACCGTTGAGGCCGGTCGAATTCCACTCGCCCCTGTACTTGTGCTCGGCCGTACAAGTCTATGATAAACCGGACCGGGTCAATACTATAGTCCCTATCAGTAAGATTCTGGGGATTGGCATTAAATCGACAACCTTGACTTGAAGCTTGGAACGAACCTTCATTAGTCTCTGAAATTGTGCATTAAAAATGGAAGTTTGTTTATCATGTTTTATATTTTTAAATCTATTTAACTTGGACTTATTATTTTATTTATCATATTAACACGAATGGAATTCGACCTTCCTTGGAGCAGTCGCGCGTGATTAAGAGGATGTGTCCTACGTACCATGCAATTGAGCGTATTGAAGAACTTCCTTATATATGGTAGCAGAATATTGGGAGTCCAACTTACCATCTAGAAGATGACTTGTGATGGAGAAAAGATACCTGGAGGAGCAGGAACGCGATAATTGTGGAGATTGACGAAATCATAAAAACTTATCATATTGTGCTAAGATATAAAGGTTTTGAAACACAACTGGAAAAGTTGTATTTGAAGATTTATATTTTGTGAAGTGCCGAGAGGAGCGAATGGAGGTGAACCACTCGAGCGATATTTGTGTGTATCTTCATTTTATTTTATGAGTGTGGAGTCTAAAGTCTCATCTCGATCTCAGTGAGCTTGGATTTTTATTGGAAACTATTTGTATAAGTGTTCGGGAGGAACACTTAAATCGAACTCAATAGATTTGAGTTGTAAAAATCCACAAGGGAATTGTGGTCGAAAAAGTTGTGTAGTGAGTGATTACAAGATAGGTACTGAAAAGTGAGTCTTCATTGCAAATCCGATTTGTAATGGGTCAAACATTTACGTATATAAGAGAGTTCCGAAGGGGGAGTGGGATGCTCCTCTGAAGGTTCATGTTTTGTAGAACTCTGCTTTCGCAATTGTGTGAGCTTTCATCTAAGTTTACTTGTTATTATACTAAGCACAATACTGGTATATCCCCCACAATTTCAAACAAAATCCTACGAATTTAGTTGCAATTTCAGAAATTTATGAGTTATTGTAATTTGACTCTCCGGATCTATTTACAATTTATCTAAAGTTTTAATAATTGTACTTTGCCCCTTGGTTTTTTGTAATTTAATTAATGTATATTTAATTTATTTTTTGTTGCATATTAGGTAATACATAATGCATATTTAGTTTCATTCATAACGCATGCTTAGTTGAGAATATAAAGACAGTAGAAGGCTTCGGTATATTGTTGTCAATTGCATATTTTGACGGCACATTTAGTTCATTTGGGGTGCATATTTAATTCATGAATAATGCATACTTAGTTGATATATTGTTGCACATGTAAAAAATACATATTTAGTTAATGCAAAATGTATATTTAGATCATATGAGATGCATATTTCGAGTGTACATTAACTTCATACACAATGCATATTTGGTTCATAAAAAAAAAGGCATATTTAGTTCATATCTATTGCTTATTTCGAATATACATATTTTACTTTATTCATAATGCATATTTATTTCACACATAATGAAACGCTGGAAGTCAGCGGTCAACTCTGAAAAGTCAAAGCTCAAATCAATGTTTAAATAATTACAAAATTAAAAATAAAAAATTAAATCTTGAACGCACGTCTTGTTGTTTATTTAATGACTAAGATTGAGTCTCACATTTCCATTTCAAATAATGAGACTCATTGAATCCAAGCCATACATATATGGATTTCAAGTTAGCTTACCTAGTGTAACTTAACCTTTCATGGTCTTGTAGAGATTTGCAGTCTCACCTAGAGATATATAACAGCACATTATACCAACTTTATACTATCACCATCAGCTTCTATTCAAATAGCAGGCCAGGACATAAACACATCAAGTCACCCATTCTCTGAGGCCAGTTTTACTTCACACTAGGAAAAATCGCGTGGTTGCATAAAATGTTTCGTCTAATTATCCATGGCCTGAATCCCAAAATTAATGAGCACGAGAGGCAAAGCACATTATACTGCACAAAGTTATAGAAAGGAGCTTATACGGCTGTGGAAAAGAAAATTGGAAACAGATGCATCATACTCTTCAGATTAGAAAATAAGACCTCAAGTTGACACCAGTATGTAAAAAGTCTCGAAACATGTAGAACTGCAATCTCAGCCACATAACAATACCTCTCTAAACAAAAAAGATGAATCATGAATTACAGCAAAACTGAGTTCAGCAAGTGTTCAAAACAGAAAAAGGAACAGATCAATCTTCTTCGTCTATGACTTGTGTGCCCAATCCCTTGATCCCTCCATCCGGAATCTCAGCAACGGTGACCAAAGAGTAAAGTTCCTCCTTTGCATCCTCGTCATCATTCCTCTTGCGCGCAATGCGGACACGGATTCTTCTCGGCACACTTCGAATCCCATTGCTCCAAATGTGTTTGTTCAGTTTGACGTCCACCCGGACATCAGTGGTCCCCATGGCCTTCTGGGCAAACTTCCTGATTTCCTTGATGGCCTTCGGAGCCTTCTTCTTGAATGTGCTACACTCAAATACGCATTAACATTAATTAGCACATTAACAAATACTACAGTATTGACCCTACTTCAGCAGATATCATAGGTAATTGATGAAAACCCATACTAAATAAACACATTAAGAGTGGAATCACAAGCAGCACTATAGAGCTCGGATCAAGAGGCAACATATTATATAAAAAACTCAATCTTGGTGAATAATTTTGTACTTACTTTTGCTATAGAAATCAGAGTACTATATCACCATTTACAAACAATTCACAAGTTTGAAATTGTAAACTGTTTACTGTTAAGGACAATAAATAAAGGGACACAGAGATTCATACTGTTGTTCTACAAGATGAGTGATTTTGAATACACAGAACATTCAAATGAAATAAAGCGAGCACAAAGTATCTGCACAAAGAAAGGGATAAAACGGAAGCATAAACGACATAAAAATGTAAAACATGGTCAGTGAGGCTCAAGCAGCAGAGGTGGGTGAGTGAAGAGAGAAAGAGGTGGTATACTTACCATCCATGGAGGCGTTTATGGAGATTGATGGTGTACTCCCTGGTGACGACCTCCTCTTTCCTGGCCTTGTTTCCCTTCTCCATTGTTACTGCTTCTCTGAGAGCTTTTGGGGTGGGGGCGCTGAGAAAGTAAACCCTAGCTTCCGTGGTTGCAAAGGCTTTATATAGAAAACAGCGGATTGGACGTCGAAATTACAGACGTGCCCACACTATTTGTTAAGATCTACGGTTTTACTATGAAGCCAACAGTTGGCTCCATAGTGGAACCAACCTTTATATACAACAAATAAACCTATCATATTAATAAAATTATATTTGTGTTATTTAAGTAATCAGATAATATGGTAGGTTTACGTGTTTGTATATAGAAAGTTGGTTCTATTATAGAGCCAATTGTTGGCTTCATAGCAAAACCGTAAAAGTTATTCACTATGTGTTAAAATCTATTAGGCCTCTTTTACTTGAGCTGATAGGATAGGATATGGTTAGATAACTCATGTTATCTAACGTTTTCTAACCATTATGAGATTGGATATAAGTTAATGTGTCATATGAGTCTCACACTTTTATGTACAATTTGCAGGATTATTTTGTCCGATGACAATTTAATCCCACCATACAAATGACCATTCTGTACAGAAATTGGCATGTGGAATGACCCTTTTACCCTTAGAAGTCCACCAAATTACAGATCATGTCCTAAAATTGTCTTGTAGGTCCCACACTTTTACCTCATATTTTGTTTTTTATCTAGTCTATCTTGATTGATTTTGCCTTAAAATGCATCATGTTTTGTGAGCATTGAACAAAAGATGACGTGTAAAGTTAATGGGATAAAAGTTGTCCAATCTCATCCTATCCCATCTCATAATTGGAAATGCTAAGGTCACGTTACAAAACTATTCTGTTGGGGTTTGTAGCTGTTATATCATCATGTAACCGTCAGGGATAGTTGATCTAACGGTTACAAATCTCGTAGAATAGTTTCGTAACGGGACTGTAGCATCTTCCTATAATATTAATAGAAATTTACTTTTATAAAAAAAACTAAAATTCCTCTAAAAATATACATTTTTATTATTAGTTGTAATTTTTTTTTTTTTTGAAATTTTTTGAAATATCCCGTTTAAAGCACATTGGAATTGAAATTAAAAATTAAAATAAGTGACAAAATGTGTATATATATTTGTAGTTTTAATTAGGAATAAAAATTCCTAATCACAATCTAAACCTAGTATACATTGAAATCCCCAATATTCATCAAACATTCATCATTCCACACCAAACACAATAAAGAGAACGAACGAGAGAGAACAAGAGATAGAAGAGCAGAAAAGTATATAATTTTATTCATAGGTATATATACATGAGAGATAAATAGACTGAAAATAGACTGAAAAAGACTGAAAATAGCAAAAAGATTCTTAGGTCACCCGAAATAGACTGAAAATAGCAAAAATGACAGACTCAAACTTATGTGATTAAAACGAAAAACTGACTACGCATTGATCGAATTTTCGACACAATTCTCAATATAAAAATGATAAGCACTCGATTTTTTCCTAATGAGAGACAACAAGCTGATCTACAATTTACGCGAAGACCTCAAAAAGAGACGACGAGGTTTCAGTGTTCAAAAAAAACAATGATAACCGATCACATACAAGACCAGAAAACCAGAAAACTGGACGCACAATCAGAAATTAGCAAACAGAAATTGATATTCACTCGATTCTTGTTGGAAAGGAAAACATGGACCAAACAGAAATTAGCAAAAGGTTTTCAAAATGGGGTTTTCAAAGACCAACTCTTAAACGAACAACAATCACGAGAGAAGGGTCCGAATAACAAGTCAAGGCTCGAATTTACTCGATAACACCTCAGCAATACACAACAAAAGAATATGGCCCGATAACACAATGAGAGAGTTCCAATATCCACGTCAATTTCTCACAAAGCAATACACAACAAGAACCGATATATACCAACCCCAAACACCAGATTATCGATTCAACGAATACGATACAACCAGCGAAATAAACATGAGAATTTATCGATTTAACGAATACGATACAACCAGCGAAATAAACATGAGCATAGATAAAATAGAAGGTTCGGCCGGTTACCTTCCTTTGGGAAATACACAAGCTCGGTTGAAAAACTGGATGAAGCAAACGAATGACGGAACTCGGACTTCTCGATCACGGTGTTGCTTACGAACGGCTGGCCATAGACAGAGGCTCCTCAAGCCCGGCTGTTGTGCGACGGTTCGAGGTCTAGCATAGGATGCTGGTGGTTGACGGTAAGATCATATATATATATATATATATATATATATATATGATCATATATATATATATATATACATGGCCTCTATAGACGACACATGTCCTCTCAAGTGCTCTTAAAAAATTGACAATTTACCATTATATTTACAATTTTGCCACTTTGTTTCTATCTTTTGTCCTTAAATATAAAAATTCATTTCTTTACTTTTGGCGGAAGAAACATTTGTCCCACCCACTCTATTTAACTCTCACTCTCTGAGAGACAACTTTGTCATTCTCTCACACAAATTCAAATTCGTATCCCAAATCTCAAACCATCAGTCGATGGAGCTCACCCCACAATAACTGAATCTATAGTGTCACCGATAGTCGAAGCCGAGCTACGTGGTGGTCCAAGGTCAAATGTATGCCGTGACTGCTGTTAGGCTCTAGTGTTTGTACTGCAGTGCCTAAATGGACGCCCCTCGTGCGCTCGCAAAGTTCAGCAAGGACGAAAGCTACGTCGTCCTAAAACTCAATGTCTCACAGAGAAGGAAATCAACGTGCTCGACTATTTCAAGTTAGGTACTCTAGTGTTGGAATAGTCAATACCAATTAGGGGTTTAAGGAAATAAAATAAAATGAAAGGTATGCTTTTTAAAGAAAATCCCAACTTTATAGGGGATAAATGGATTGCAGTTTATTTATTAAATTTGTTCGACTTTGAACGATTAATCTATGCTTTTTTGTGTTTTTATTTGTATGAATGAATAAAGAATTACATTTCAGGTTGTGAAAGCTGCTAATGTTGTTGAAAAAAAAAAACATCGCCGATAAGGCAGAAACAAATGGCTTCAGGCAGACGACAACAACTATGAGAGATCGACCCAAGCCTGATTGTTCACGAGTGCTGGTCGTTATGTCGAGGTTTGAAGAGCGGTGAAACTCCGATAAGTCAAGGTGGATCCGGTGGGGCTGGGAAAAGTTTCTCAACAATGGGATAAACAGCGGGAGGTAAAACTCTTACAATGTGTTTCGGAGAGGATGTCGTCGTGTGAAATAGACATCGAGATGGTGAGAGAGGGCGGCGACAGGCGGTGGTGGGCAGCGTCGGGTGGTCTCAGTTGGCGGCTGGCATCAGACGGAGGTGCCGCCGGTGGTTAGATCGTGAGACATGTGTTTGTGTGTGAGTGAGAGAGAAAGAGTAGTTTGGTGGGTTGGGGTGGGGCCCACCTAAGATGTGGATGAGTATGTAATTACAAGTTTGCCTTTATGGTTAAATGAGTACATTTGACTACGAAATATACACTTATTTATGAAATTGTCACCGCGTGTTTGACTGTCATATTTAAATTTTGACTTGATCATTACAATTGATATGTTGAATCCAATTGTACAAATTTATTCTCATTTTTTTTTTCACTATCTATCATTCTCATATGATCCCAACTCTCTCTCTCTCTCTCTCTATATATATATATATTTAAAATTGTAATTGTATAATCTTTAAAATGTCAGTTTAATTAATTAATAAAGTTAGTTCTTGAGTTCGAGCGGGGGTAGGCGGACTATGCGCCAGTGTAGTAATCTGCCAAGGCGCAATCACATCAAATAAAATTATTGAACGATGTTATATTTAAATAACTATCTCATAGATATCAATTTTTAAGATTTTATCTTGACAAAATTAAATAGTTCATTAAATAGTTCTTTGAAATTAGAGAAATAATTATTAAAAAAGTTAAAGTTGTTCCTAATAAATGTTTTTTTTTCTTTTATTTTTTTAAAAAAATTTTATTTTCTTGTTGACATAATGAAGTGCCACTGAATTATTTAATTCTAGTCCTACATTTAAACAAAAAATATATTTTAGTTAAATGAATATATTTAAAAAAAAAAAATATTTGTTGTACTTATAAAGTAATATTTTTCATCTTAATTTTTATTTAATATCTGCAATAATTTAGCCCGAATAAGTTGGGAGGAATTCCACTACGTGACCCAACTTTTTGAATTTATATCAATTTAAGGTCTGGATTTATTCTTTTTTTGATAAAAGGCTTATATTTTATATTATTTTTAATTTGAGGCTCTCTTTATAGTTAAATTTTCATTGTAAGGTTTAATTAACTTTATTTTTTGACATAAATATGTAAACCAATTAACTTTTTTTTATGAAGTTTTTTTTCGGAACTATAGAAAATTTTATAGATCAAAACGCACAAATGTACAAAATTACAACCACTAGGTGACTAATTCAACTAAAAACTGAATAAACTGGGAGGACATGTCAGAATACCGCCTAGAACCGACACTAGCAACGGTAGAAACCAAAAACACACTCACGACAAACACGACAAACTCAAATAAAAATACAAGGCTCCCACAAGGAGAATAAACAGAAAAGGTTTCCAAAAGGAGAATAAACAGAAGAGATCCAAAAGGGATAATACTCGCTCACACTCGCGCATATACATAGGCCAACAGCCCAAACCAAAAACACGAGACCAAAAACAAAACAAAAACACCTAAACAATAAAAAATACACGAAACAGAAAAATAGCACGAGCCCTTACACAACAGCAATTCCAAGCCGAACCAGCAGTCACCAAATCAACCCAAGGAGACTCCCTCAGCCCAAGAAAACCGACCCGCCACTGCCGAAACCCGCCTAGCAGAGTCGAATCCCAAGCATCGGAACACACCCAAGTCGATCCGCCCCGAAGCCCGAAAAACACCAAGATTGCACCCAACCGCCTCAGTACCGAGCCAACTAACACCACTAGCGAACTCAGTACCATTGACAAAGCCTAGCCCAGCTTGCGGACGAAAAGTCGACCCAACTCGCCCCACAGCTAGAAAATAATCCAATTGCCCTTAGACCCACCGATGTACCGAACCCGGCTAACACCACTAGTAAGAATCGACAACACCGACACACCCCCCGAATCCAACACTAGAGAACGGGGGGAAAGGAGCCAAAAAAAAAATGCAATCGCCGCCCCTCCCTCGTCGACAAAAGCCGCGAGCTGCCGGAGCCACACCCGGCCCCAACCCACTGAACCACATCCACCCAACACTACCGCATCACCAAGGAGGCCGTCGACTCTAAACTGAAGTCGGAACCTGCCAGAGAATGCAGAGTCGACCACCGACACAAATCCATCCCTACCATTGCGAAGGAGCGAGAGGAGACACGACCTTGGTTTGAGGGCCAAACGGCAAGGAGCCGACCACCGGCGGAGCTCGTCGGCCGCTGTGGAAGGCGAAGATCAGACGCAACGTCAAGCTAGAGGAAAAATAGAAAATGAGAATATTTTATGATATTGTTATGTGAACAAAAATATTATTATTATTTTTTTTTTGTAATTTATATTTTACGTATATGTTTAGAAAAAATTGTTTAATAAGAAAATGAAACTATAAAAAATACAATTTTGAAAAAATTAAAGTTGATGATTTTAACACATTGATAATTTCAAAAATATGCAATTGAAATATTATTTTAAGTAATAATATAAATATGTAATAAAATAATTAGCTTTTCAGGATTTTAATTTTTCCTTTTGGACAAAAGTTGGTAACATGGTACATATTTGTTTATTATAAAAATAATATTTCCATTACATATTTTTCAATTTCACTTCAATTTTTTAAAATAATCATCATTAAACTTTTACATAATTATAACTTATATAGTTTCATTTTCTTATTAAAGAAAGCTTATTAAGGATATTTTTTTTGTTATAATAGTATTTTTGTTCGTATAATAGTTGGTTCACATATTTATGACTAAAAGTGAAATTAGTTGGACCTTATAATAAAAAGTTAATAAAAAAAATAGGTTATAAATTGAAAATATTCCAAAATAATCCGGGTCTATTGAGAAAAAATAAAATTCAAACCTTAACATAGTATTTGGTTCGAGGGAAAATAAGGGGAGGGGAAGGGAGGGGAGGGAAACTTCTAATTTTCCTCTGTTTGGTTCAATCTTTTGTGGAGGGGAGGGGATGAGATTTTCCCCTCTAATTCACGCGCAGAGGAAAAATAGCTCCCCTCCAAAATTGAGAGGATTTGGAGGGGAAGGAAAATGTGAAGATGTAACATTACCTTATTGTCCTTAATATTAATATTATTTTATTGTTATATATCTTATATCATTAAGGGTAAAATAGTCAATTCAACATTATTTTCCCTCCCCTTCCATTTTCTAACCAAACAAGAT